CCCCAAAGCCTGGGCTGCCAGCACCGGCTTCCTTCTGGTCAGGCTTCCCTAGTAGCCCAGGCTTTGTCTGGAAGGACGTCTGGTCTAATTAGCACATTATGCTTTTATTATTATAGATTTGCTGTTATTGCTTGCAGCTAAACCACCAAGAGAAGTATGGTTTTGTGCCTTTTCTTTTGTCTTTTCCTAGAGCTTATAATTCCCTCTTAGTCTTGTATGCATTTGTGGCTAACTCATCCACAGCTAATAAAATTGTCTGTCAATATGGCCATACATATCATATTGGTAACATATCCATTCTATTTTTTTTGGGGGGGGGAGACATCACTTCTAGAGCCCTATGTTCTCTTCTCTGTGTAAGCAGGTTGCCTGCTGCACAGCTGTTGGCCCTTCTTTGTTATTCTGGGGATTTCCTTCATTCTTCTCTTCTGTTAGATCTGTTTTCCTTGATTCAGTCTTCCTCTCTCTTGTTTTCCCCGCTCTAGCTTTACTAAGGCATAATTGCGTCTTCCTCTTTCTTGATTTACTTTCTAATTTTGGTGGTGCACATCCTCTAATAGCTTTGATGAAGGGTACCTGAGAGGTAAATTTGTTGAGAACTTGATTGATAATGTTTTTATTCTACCCTCACACTTAATTGATAGTATGGCTGGGTATAGTTTCTAGTGCCATAGACTGAATGTTGGTATCCTCCCAAAATTCATATGTTGAAACTTAATCCACAGTGTGATGGTATTTGGAGATGGACATTTCCTGCCCTGCTTAGGAGCCAGAGGTAAGGAAGACCTCCTGGTGTGCACAATAAATCTCTTCATGTCTTCTTGGCATGCATATGGTGTCATCATTATTGACATTTGAATCCATTCCTCATCTGCAGAGTGACCACAACTCAACTCCACCACTTCCTAGCTGAATGTTCTTGGGTAAATTGCATAATCTTTTTTCCACCTGTTTTCTGTTTGTAAAATGAGGATAATAACAGCAATTATGCTGTTGTATTAAAGATTAAATAGGTTAATACACATTAAGTGCTTAAAGCAGTACCAGATACATAGCAAAAATTCAATAAGTGTTATTACTGGTGTGAACTTTTTTTTATTCAAAGTTTTAGGCACTTGAGTTCTTCCAATTAGACTCAGGTTAATTCATTTATGAGACATATTTTTGGTATTTAATATATATCCTTCCCTCTGTTCTCTACTTCTAGAACATTTCTCACACATTGTCTCTTATTTTACATCAAATTTCCTTTTTATTTTGCTTTATGGGACATTTCCTCAACTTTATCTTCCAGCTCTTTTGTGGCCTTTATATCTATTCTCTTTTTAATTAATAGTAAAATCCCTGTTTTTTAGCTAGACATTTCTCTGAAGAAGATATTCAAATGTCCAATAAGCACATGAAAAGATGCTCAACTTCACTAATAATTAAGACAGTGCAAACCCAAACCACAATGAGATACTATTTTACAGTCATTAGAATAGCTATTGTTTTAAAAAAACAACCCAGAAAATAACAAGTGTTTATGAGGATGTGGTAAAATTGGAACACTTGTACACTATTTGGTGGGAATGTAAAATATGCAGCTCCTGTGGAAAAGAGAATGGCTGATCCTCCAAAAGTTAAACATTAAATTACCATATGATACAGCAATTCTGCTTCTGAGTATATACCCAAAAGAACTAAAAACAGGGATCTGAACACCATTTGTACACCAATGTTCATAGCAGCATTAATCACACTAGTCAAATTCCATTAATGGATGAATGGTTAAACAAAAGGTGGTATATACATATGCATATACTCTTCAGTATATATAAATAGTATGGAAAATTATTCAGCTTTAAAAGAAAATGAAATTATGATACATGCTGCAACATGGATGAACCTTAAGACCTAGTTAAAGAAACCAGACATAATGGACAAATATTGTATAATTCTGCTTATGAGTAGTCAAATTAGTAGAGACAGAGAGTAGAATGGTGATTTCTAGATAATGGGGGGAAAAGGACATGGCGAGTTATTGTTTAAATAGAGGCCTGGTGCACGAAATTCATGCACGGGGCCCCTGTGTGTGTGTGTGTGTGTGTGTGTGTGTCCCTCAGCCCAGCCTGCACCGTCTCCAATCTGGGATCAGGCCTAAACGGGCAGTCGGACATCCCTCTCATACTCTCATACTGCCCCTCCTGCCAGCCTTCTTGCCCCCAACTGCCCCCTCTTGCCAGCCTGCTCACCCCCAACTGCCCCCCCCTGCTGGTCTGCTCACCCCCAACTGGACCCCCTGCCAGCCTGCTTGCCCCCAACTGCCCTCTCCTCCTGGCTTGATTGCCCCTAACTGCCTCTGCTTGGCCCCGCCACCACACTTTGTCTGGAAGGATGTCCAGAAGGTCTCCCGGAAGGTCTCCCAGTCTTCCCTCCCAACTGCCTCCCCTGCTGGCCATCTTGTGTGTTGGAGTGATGGTCAATTTGCACATTACTCTTTTATTAGATAGGATGAGTACAGAATTTCAGTTTGGGATGATGAAAATATTCTGGAGATGGAAGTGGTGATGGTTGCACAACAATGTGAATGTTCTTGTGAACTCTGATGAACTGCATACTTAAAAATGATAAAAATAATAAAAATACATGTATTTTACCACAATAAAAATTAAGAGATACTCTTCAAGGATGAAAATTTATCACTATGACAGCAATAGGATGTGGGGAAGGGTTGATGGACTCCTCTTGTCTCCCTCTCTCCAACTGACACCATCCCCTACAGCTTCATAACTGGTCATTGTCTCCTATCTGGGCCTTTGGATGCCTATTTATTCTGACTATTACTACCAAATATCCACCTGGCTATTTCCCTCCTGTCTTTTTTGGCTTCCATAGTTTCTGGTAAGAAGTCTGCTATATTTCCTATCTTTCCCCCCATGTATGTAATGCACCTTTTTTCTCTGTCTGTTTTTTTTTTAATATATTTTTATTGATGTCAGAGAGGAAGGGAGAGGGAAAGAGAGATAGAAACCTCAATGATGAGAGAGAATCATTGATTGGCTGCCTCCTGCATGCCCCCCACTGGGGATCGAGCCCGCAACCTGGGCATATGCCCTGACCAGGAATCGAACCCGCGACCTCTTGGTTCCTGGGTCGACGCTCAACCGCTGAGCTACACCCGGCTGGGCTTCTCTGTCTGTTTTTAAGATTTTCTCTTTATCATTGGTGATATCCAGTAATGAATTTATAAGAGACAGTGTTAGCGGTAGGGAGGGAAATGACAGGTCCCCACCAACCACATCTCATTGCTATCCTGTAATAAATCTTCATCATTGAAGAGTATTTCTAGTTGTGAAAGGATACCGTATGGACCTGAAGACCCTGTTTTTCAAAGCTATGAGATAATGTAAGCAATAGCGCACCATACACCAAAAGGCCACCTTAGGAAAAGAAGCAATGGAGGGTATGGGGAAGTTATCTTGAAGACAGTTTGTTGTTTTTTCTAAAAGAGATGTGTTTTGTCTGGCTGGTGTTGCTCAGTGGTTGAGCAGCAACCCATGAACCAGGAAGTCAGGGTTTGATTCCCTGTCTGGGCACATGCCTGGGTTGTGAGGTGTGAAGTAGGGGTTGTGCAGGAGGCAGCCAATCAATGATTCTCATCATTGATGTTCCTCTCTCTCCCTTTCCTTTCCTCTCCCTGAAACCAATAAAAATATAAAAAACAAGAGTTGTGTTTCTTGTAGGACCCATTTAAATTATCTAATCAGATAAAGCTTAAAACAAGAGTAGGCAATCCTGAAAGGATCTATACTTAATAGCACACGTTGGAAATCTATGAAGCAATGTGACTAGTGCAATGTCCTGGCCTGCTTGTCAATCACCTTCCCACTCTTCACATTATTCACATCTCTATTCAATGCTCCTTCCTCAAACAGCACTTAAACTAATCATTCTACCCAAAATAGCCATTTCCTCAAACATTCTTTACCTTGCTTTATTTCTCTTTGTAATACTTAATCACAAGATGACATTTTATCACTTATTGGTTACTTGTTTATCAGCAGTTTCCTCCACTAGAGAATAAGTACCATCTTCATTGTTTTATTGATATCAATTACTCAGAGCACAGATCAGAGCATATGCTCAATACTTGATTGAATGAATTTAGTTATGCATGGATTTACTTTATATTATTTATATGAAGTACATATTTAACATCTGTTGCACTATTATGTTATTTAATCTGACATTAACTATCGTTTTCATTTTTATCAATTATCCACTCATTGTGCAATCACTTACCAAACCTCTAATTGGTGTTATGTATATAGTTAGCATGCGAGGTGGGGAGAGACGAAAAGGTATAAAGACGTCCATAAAGAAGTCCCCACTTCCTGATGAATAAATTAGAAGTCCTTAGCAAGCAAAGATTGGACACCCTAAATCCAAGGGGGAAATCAGATTGTATGTTTTTAAAAACACTCCAGCAGGTAGGTGTGTTTCTATAAATGCTGCCTCCCACTCCCTCAAACAGCCCAACTCCCCAATTGTCCGCCAGAGCCATCTCCTATCCAGCCTTACTCAAAGCTCCTTCCCTGGAAACTGACAGCTGGGGAAACCCCACTGAGGCCCGCCCCTCCTGTTATGCTGAGTGGAGCAACCTGTGGGAGGGCCTGCGGGACCGACCAATGGGATGAAGCGGGAGCAGGAGCCTGGGTCAACAAACGCAGAGGTGCTGCTCCTGGGGCTCCGCCCCGCCGGACGCCCAAAGCTTTGGCCCAATGCCTATCCAGGACGGAAAGAACCGAGGGAGCAAAGAGACAGATGTTAATACCAATCAGAAGCTGGTACTTCGGTGGGAGTGGGCGGGAACTACTTCACATTTAAGCCAATAAGCATCACACGGGCCCTGTTAGGTGACTGAGCGGCATCCTCTTCGGCCCAATAGACGAATAGGGCGGTGCCCAGCAACCAATAGCTTGGGTTCGGGGGCGGGGTGAGGAGTCAGTGCGCTTTAAGAGGCCACCTGGCGAGTGGTGGGGCGCTCCGCGGTGCTGTGGCTCACGCTCCGGTTCGGGAGGCCGAGGCTGTTCTGGCGGCGGCGACCTCTGCGGCGGCGAGGGCTGAGGCTCTCGGAAGAGCCACCGCGTGGGGTCTGAAGGAGGGGCTTCTGGTCAGCTCAGGTG